GTTTATCTCAGTGCAGCTTTTAGCAACGATAAAGATTCATTAACTCTTAGAGTAGACCAAGTTAGAGCTTCTATCACCTTTACTCTTTTAACCTTCACTAGAATTTAAAGGTCACAACAGGTTGTAGAAAATGCTCTTTCTGGGCAGAACTCATCCTCTTTTAATTTAAAACCTATTCTGGCGCTTGAGGACTACCTTGAATATTTGCGCTGTGAAACTTACGAACTCTGTTATGCAAAATCACTCCTTATTGAACCCAAATCGGGCCCCAGTCCCACTGAATCTTTTAAGCAATTAAAGGGAGGCGAAGAGGTAACTTTTTTATAGTATTTTTAAATAAATTAATTTTTTTAGTAACAACAGCAACTTCAGAAACCTGAAAACTAGGAGTTACTTTATATTAAGTAATTATGTTAAAGATTCAACCCAACTTTGAGGATAATTGCGCTCGTTATATGTTTTATTTCTTGTAAGTATATAATAACATTCATGGTTAAGTGGATATATGAAAGGGTCGCAACCTTATCATCCTTTGTTAGAATTTTATAGCTTTTCTTATACAAGAGGATTTTTGAAATAAACTGATCAATTCAATGAAGGATTAAAAAACTAGGAGTTATACTCTATTCCTTCTTTTCTACTAACTAGAGGAATTGTACCCAATAGAACAAAAACTCTGAATAGATTTCCTCTTACAACTTTTTTTTATTTGTTAATAAACTACTAACTTTGCCTTTAAAGACTATTTAATAACCGTGCATACACCGTTAAATAATTAAACAGCTATGTACTTTGTACTTTGCTTTTAAGGGATAAACCCTAGAAACAACTTTTCTAAAGTAATTAAACACTGAATTTAACAAGAGTGCCGAGGGACTTCAGATAGAGAGGTTAAAAGGCCGCAGTTGCTAACCTGAAGTGCTCCTAAATTAATAAACGTCCCTTGACTGCAGCTTAGCAACCCAACTAGAGAGTTTGCTTAGTATGCAATATGAAATTCTTCTAGGCTATCGTTATTATAAGTGTTAAGTAATAATAAAGTGTTTTGTTCCAATATGAAGGCGGTTCAGCGTAACTCTTACACTAAAAATTTTTTAGCATGACTAAGAATTAACTTACAAAGCAAAATTAGGTAACACCGTACATTTGTACCCACGAAAAATTAATTAAAACTTAGAAGGACCTTGTGCTATTCTGGAGGTGCAGGGTCACTTAAGCCATGCATTATGGCAAATCTTTCTAATCAATTTATAGAAATAGCTTCAGTTTTAAACCGTTTTCAATATAGTTAAAGGTGCTTTTTTCTTTTTTTCAGACGAGAGATTTTTGTTAACTTAAATAACTTTTTTGTTGTTTAGGGTTACCTAACCTTAAAGAAAAAGGAGCTGTTTCTGTTAACAGAAGCAGCCGAGGTCTCAAGAAAACTCATCAGTATGAACTTACCGGCCGTGTGTGTGCTGTTGCAGCTTGAAGGGGCCTGTATATATAAAACGCAGTTTGACAGTGGTGACGCCTAAGTTAATTAGCCCTACTATAGTTTATATTACTGCAATAAAGAGTAAGATAGCTCACATTCCCACTCTTTCGTAATTTTTTATTTAGTAAAAATAGAAGCACCGTCATTCAAATTTGAGTTAGATGCTAATTCATAAATTACTAAAATTACAAAAAAAAATTTCTATTGAGCAGGTAAATTTTTTTGATAAAGACAGTTTTGTCCAGGTCGCCCGTACAGTATCTTTAGTTCTGCGTACTGGCTGTCTTGGAAAGACGAACAAGTTGTGCTTTAGTCTAAGACTATAGCTAAAAACAAGCCCACTTAAGAGCGAGCGAGCACCATGTTACCTTGATCTATGAGACTAGAAGGTGTATTATAGGGTTTTGTTGTCGACGAGGTTACTGACAATAGATCTAAAACTAAAAATCTTAGCCACTCAGTACGGAATCTTGAGTACCCAAGAAGACAGGGAAAAATAATTTTTAATTGTCAGGAGTTTTTTTGGTATTAAAAAGCCTTATCTTTGCACAAGGTAATTTTTATATTCTATGGGTCTAGTGTTGACTTAAATTTTCTTGTTAAATTTTAAATATTCTGTGGTTTCAATTATGATGCTGCTATTAATGCCCACTACTAATAATTGAATTTATACAATTATAAAGCTCACTGATATATAATTCAGGATTTTTGATTTAACCTAGCATGCTCATCAAGTTTATGCATAACTCCGGTCACTATCAAAAATACCACAATTCAATTTCGCGTTGACTACCATCTATGCTTTGGTGTAATCTTTATAATTATTTTTCAGACTTACATAAATATTGTAACGCTCTCGTATTGGAGTAAGTTGTAAAAAATTAACGCAACAACTTTAAAAGAGCCTGGGTTAAAAGTAACCCCATAAGTCTTCTAGGGTTAAACTTTGTTGTTCTCCCTCCTCTTATTATCATCATGGTAGTTCCGCAATCATAGCTACTTTTGCTTACGGTTATGTGCTAAGTACTATTCCTGCGACCTTAATGTCTTAGTTTCAGTATTTTTCCTACTATCTAGTTCTTCGTTTTAAATACCCCTTTGTCATCTACCTTTATTATTCCTATTTTTCCTAACCTTATGCATGATTTAGCGTTTTTATCTTCATAAAACATTATAACCGATTTGGTTATGACATCCATTGTAATTTACAAAAAAAAATCCAATAATTATTTGACTGTCCCTCATGCAAGGTTTTATCAGCAAGCTTCTGTGAGCAACTGTGGGATAGTAAGGATGCCCAACGTCAAAATGCTAAAAATTTAATATTAAATTTATGGAAAAAAATGATTTTAAATACTCCGGCGGTGCTATATCCCTTAGTTAATTATTATAGTGCCTCAGTCAGTTCTCGTTTTCCCCTTCTACCCAGTTAAGCACATTATAGAAAAAACATTACTTCATTTGATACTTTAAAAAAATAAAAGGAATTCATTTTTTTTAACACTAGAAAAAATTGAGTTACTAATACCCTTCGCCCCTACATACAAAAATGAATTCTATGATAACTACTGAATAAGTTTATTTAACTACCCTTGATTACTAAGGCGTTTTCTGGTGAGTATAATATTAGTACAGGTGGGTTAATATTAATAAAAATGTATACAATTAATTCTTTTATCTAAAAGTTTATTATTAGCACCATTTTAATTTTTCTGTTATTCTAATTCTTGCCCCTCTTCGCGTAGTTTATTATACACTAACTATAGCGCCTACGCCAATAAGGTGAAAAGAAAAAAGTCAAAAAAGGTTTCTGCCCCACGCCTACACCCCGAATTACTATAGTGAAGTAGAAGGCGGGTTTTCCAAGCAAATATGTAAGTTTATAAAAAACTTCAAAGTGCATATTATAGTTTTTAAAATAGCCATGACTAACTATAATTATCACAAGATGGGCATGCGTCTTGGGACTACACAGGTGAAAGTAATATTGTTTATATCTTTTTGGTCCACCAAATGGCTTAACCTTCTAACAAAAATATTTTTGCATTTTTCATTATCTCTTAGAGCACTTTATTGAAAGGGTTTTGTGCACCTATTTATGTTTTCTCGGTTGGTAATAGCCTTCATAAACAAGATCTAGATGATTATCCAGAGCATTTACCGAGGGGACATTAGCCACAAAAGATAAGAACGTTCTATTATGATAATCATTAGCTGAACTAAAAATGTTAGATATAAATATTTATATCGAGTAACAGATCTATAATAGTAAATGAACAGATATAAAAAATTTTAGAAAACGGTAATTAAACCAGAAAAATAAAAATTATATTTGCGAGGTTTTAAAGTTGTATTCGAGGAGTAAAAGCCCTTTGGGGTTAAGCAGATTATTCTGGAACTACCGGACCGTATAACCTCTTACCAGGCAACTATTGAGAATACAATCCTCACACGGCTCGCTGATCACCACTCATTTTTTTAAGGGAACCTTGAGCTTAGTGCCCAAAGCACCCACCCTCGGAGGTGCTTTTCTGCGGATTTCCACCCCAATAATGTGGAGGCCATATTTTCTTTGTTTCTCAGCCTACTGGGACCTATATTAGTACCGACCTCTTTAAAGAAAGATTTGAGGTTCTTTAAAGACCGACTTTAGTAAACCATGTTATAAAGAATAAGGTTTAAGAGATTCTTTTGCTTATTTACTTAACGGTTTAGTTCTTTCGCACTGATTTGGCTGAGGGCGAATAGTAAAAAGTCGGGATTCCTTTTCATAGTCTGTAGGACTAGTAGTTATGCTAATATTAACTATTATAGGGGAATGTGTTATAGCAAGCCTAAAGAACGCTGTAGAATTTAACGTCCCGGCGGCGTACGACAATTTAGCATAAAGACAAAGAAGCCTTCGGGGGACAGGACTTCTTACTAAAATTAGGAGAAAAAATTGTTTAATTAAAAAGTGAACAATATTCTAAATAAAACTTAAGTTAATAACAAAATAAAGGGTTATGTGTAGATTCTGGGCAAGCCTTTTTTAAGACGCTAAAAAAATAAGTTAAATTTCTTGCTACCGCAGTTACAAAGTGTTTATTTGTCTTTAAAAATAAAAGATTAATTTATGTAAGAAAGTTATCAGCTAGATTTTGTGTATTAAGGAATTATTGTAGACTAAATAGAAGTTTACTATGCCTATGCCCTGGAATAACTATTTGAACACAAGTTGCGCTAAACCCTGCTCAACACACCAAATTTGTTAGAGCACTGCCTCATTGCTCATTTATTTGGGAAAAGTTTAGGCGCATTACTTAATAGTATAATATTTTTTTAAAAAAACTAGAGCCAAAAAATTGAAAAAATCGTAAAATCGGAGGACCGACCATTTGACCGGAGAAAACAAAACCGTAAATCCCCTCCTCCCTTTACAGAAGTCAATTGAAAAGAGTAGTTAAAGACCAGGCTATTACAACAGAAGAGTAGAAGATACGGAGGTTGTTTAAAAAGTAGATGATGAAAAGGGGTTTTAAATGTACTCAATGGAGTAAAATATTTAAAATAAAACACAAAGATGACTTAGTAGTTGGAAGTTTTCCTTTGTAATTTTTTTGTTTATTTTTGTAAAGTATATATAGAAAAATTAATAGTAAAGAGATAACGGGTTTTTAATTATTCCTTCCTCCTTAAAGTTCCTTTTATTTTTCGCTTGCCTTCTTTTAGGCTCTCCCCCTCCTTAAGACGCAACTTTGGCGTCTGCGTCTCGCTTATAACAATGTCAGATGGTTTAATGTTATTAACTAAACGTAAAAGCAAAACTTGTTTCTGAAAATATGAATGGCGATACTCTTACCTAAAGTCTTAGTTCACTGAGTAAATTTGCCTAGGGGATTAACGGAACGTGAGGAGAATTTTCTTGAGCCTCATAAGAGACTTGCTTTTAACTTATAGGTTGCGTGAAGGTAGGACTTAGGAGGAATTGCATGCTTTGTGAAGGCGATCTCGTTATAATTTATTAAGCTTGTTACACATCTACAAAGGCCAAAAATCTGAAATTTAATGAAAAAACTATAAATGTGGCTAAAACTTTGGTATTTTAGGCGTTATATGTATTTCCTACCATAGAGCGCATGTTGGCATTGCGGAAAATAAAATAGCATAAAACAATGTATTTATTACTCTCAAAAGTTTGAGCACAAATACTATAAAGTCACTTTAATTCACAGGTTGTATGCCCAAAGACTGATATAGTTTAATTATCAAAACCACCACGGGCGAAAGACTATAGTCAATGAACTAAAAATTCATTTATGTACTGCTAAGAAATACATAATTCTATTCATAAATTATTAAATTAGGTTGTTAAACCCGTTTACTCCCGTGGTATCCTTGGGTGTTAAAGTACTGAGTTTATCTAAATACACTTATCAGTTTTACTTAACCCAACTCTCTGGTATGCGTTACATCACTAGACATCATTAAAAAGCTCTTACTTACCCTTTTTTAATGGTTTTAAGCCTTCTTTGACTTCATATAATTTTGTCCAAAATTTTTTGGTTTTTTCGTTTTTAATTGTAGTTTAGCTTTATCAAAGAAGAATAATGTTAATGAATTGATCACTCACAGTACGCGAATTGACATTCTCTTAGTAAACACATCAATAATAGAGTTGCCTTTAAATTTAAGCATTGTTTAGCGCAGATGGAGTAGACTACAAATATTTTGTATCAACCATGTAAAATTGATAAAAATCGTATATTCGAAATTGTTATAAAGTGCACTATTCATATATATATATGGGCTAATGCGGATGGCTAAAAAATATAATGCGATTACTCCCCACTAAAAGCATGAGTATTCAAAGTTGTTAACTAGATCGCCAAATGAAGGAATTTATAAATAACTAATAAAGCATCCCTCCAAGCTCTCGTGGCAGTCGCACTTGAAATATCCGCGGCGGAGTAAAAGGCGGAGGTTCAAACCTTATGCTCTATACTTTGCTCACGAAGCCAACTCTCGTTGCACAACGAACGAAATTGTATGAGAGTCCGATTTCATCACCATCTCTACTTCAAAACGCCTTACAAAAAAGTCTCTTAGGTGCATTAAATCATCACTAACTCTTTTTTACAATCCTCCGTACCCGGACCGCTGGAACTTGCAGAGGTTGTTTTCGTTCCAAAGTTTAGAAAGAAATGTCAGTTAAAGGTGTATATCGCCTTATCAGCCTTTTGTCGTGCCTAGGTTAAGTGGCAGAATCGATTATCTCAGGAGGTTAAAAAGAATGGTTTCAAAAAAAAAAAATAATTAACGATAATCAATTCGGCTTTAAAAAACTCTCTGTAAGTCAACAGTTAAAAAGGATTTCGGAGCACGTAACTAAGGCATTTGATGATAAAAAATTGTAAACAGTAGCCGTATTTCTTGATGTTGAAAGACGTTTGATAAGGTAATGTCATCACGGGTTACTCTAAATGATGGCCCATTAGGTATTCTTATATCGTTGATAAAGCTTTTGGATTATTTCTTCTCAACCGGAGGTTTATAGCCAAAATATAGGCGAGGTTAAATAAATTCAATTAGGACAAACTGCCGGGGTTCTACAAGGATTTTTATTGTCACCTTTACTGTTTATATATGTATCTGAATACCCAACTTGAGCACAGTTTCTATCGCACAACATGCTGATGAGCTCGCCAGTTATTGAGTTCCAATTTGCAACCTTTAACTACCCGGCGGGCCGGATGATCATGACATACGCGTCTACTTCCTTGGCCTACGGCTCAACAAAAGTGGGCTCTTCACTTCAAATGAGACAAGATAAGCTGCCCCGCCTTACGACGGGAGTGCCATGGTTTGAACTTCAAATTTTTATTATAAAAATAAAAGTGTAAAATAAAAAAATCTTAACTCGTAAAAAGTTTTGTAATAGAATAACAAAAATAAATGTTGTTTATTAAATAATGTTAATAAAATGTTATACATATTGAACGGCCGATGTGCAAGTTGGTGGAAGGAAGACTTTTACTCTCGTCTATTAGTGCCAGAGCGTTTAAACGGAAATTCGGTATTTAGAAATTCATAGGGAAACTTATCGAGAAAAGTCATCTCTGGGAGGTGGAATTTTGGAAATTCCCTGAACACATAACTGTCTTTAACCTTTACTCTAGCAATTCCCTTGATAGATATGCTTTTGTATATTTGATTCTGAACTATGTTTTTCATGAAAAATTGTAGTAAATCCAAAGGGCTTTAGGTCGAAAAAACAAACCTCATCATCGTTACATGATAAAAAATTTTTGAACACCACGAAAGAGCAGACTTAAGTTAACTTGAGTCTTTGCAGGATTAAAACGTGAGAAGTATAAATTTTTTTTTACATGTAAAAATTTTACTAGAAATGATGTCTATCTGGAATCATTTTATCATATACTCTTAAATTTTAGGACCAAATGCTGTTAATAACAGTATCACTACAATATTTTGTAAAAATTGTATATTGGTTCTGTATCAAGAAAAATTAACTAAGTGGTTTTCCTTCCATGAGAAAGATTAAACCTTTTGTATGGTTAATACTTAATATTGTAAGGTATATAATCTGGTTACATTTACTTAGTTGCAACAAAGCGTATTAACTCAAATGCTGTAGTTAAGCAGTTTTTTTTTTTAAATTTATATGATAAAAACTAATTTTAAATTCAGTTGGAGTGCGGGGTCTTCCCTCGTTTAGCTGACACAATGGAACTGCGAAAAACCCTTTATTAAGAGCCTGTACTAGCTTTGAGCGTTATTCATGGGTAAAATGGTAATTTTTACAAAAAGTATATTATGTCTTTATAATTCACAGAAAAAAATTAACTCCTTTATAAGCTTGTTGCTTTAAATTAACTTATCAGTGTTAAATAGGACTTGAATTATAATAACATAAAAAAATTGGACTACTTTACACTATGAACTCGCAAGTTGTAAACAAACAAGATACCTTTAGTAACACATGGGTACTTTTTTAGTTTAATTTTTATAGTAGAAATTCTGTTAGGTTTTTAATAACAAAGTTAAAGTATGCTTTTGTTTTTTTACAATGACACTTCTTCTTAAATTATAAGGCAGTTTCTTTTGTAAGGGCCTCATCTCCCCTCTTTATGTTTTTCTTTACTAAATTGTATTACTTTATTATTAAAGCTTTCATCTTTTTTGTATGACGCTATATAAGGAGGAAATAGATGTCTGTGAACGCGACAAAGATTTACTAGACGACTATTACTTTAAACGTAAAGTTCAGTACATGATGGTATAAAAGTTTATCGGTTCTCTTTAAATATATAAATAATTTTTTTAAAAAATATGTTATTATTGCTGAGGTGTATCTAGTCCTTTTCGGGGGCCTTTATTCCTTAGTTTATTTGGCAATAGGAAAACTCCTTAGAAAGGAGGGTACATTTTTCCACTGTCTTAACTTTTCTTTTGTATTAAATAAAAGTGCAGGTGATATAGACGAGATTCCTGTTTCTTACGCGGAGCGTATATTGTAAGCTTATTATAATTTAAAACTAAACATTGAGTTAAACGTAAAATGTATTTTTTTTTATATAAGTTTCAAATTTCGTGTAAACTAAATTTCTAATACTGATACTAGAAATTGGGTTTCTTGTGGTTCCGTATCGCTGTCTTCAGCATCCGTCTTGTTACTGCCTCTTATTATTTTTTCACACGAGTTGCTACGCCGGTCATCCGTGCAGTGTCGTTGTGTTTTCTATCCTTGGCTCGATTCTGCTTTATTTGTCGGTAATAAAGTTTATGAAAATTTATATAATAGACTTTTTAGTGCAGTTAATATAAATTTAACATACTTATTATTAATACTTATTTATGTAATATTATAAATTGAAATCATAAAGTGTCCTGGAACATGAACTAACCTCATTCATTAATCTAACGCAGGCTGCTGGGCCTTCGTTTTTCGTGGTGGAAATTTATTTTTGTTGGTTCTGATGCCCATAACTTTTTTCTTTCACGAGCTTGAAGTTATAAAAACGGTCTTTGCTTATAACATTGCAGTTGTAGTTTTTTTGAAAAGCTTAAGGTTTTAGTCTATTCTGGTAGAATAAAATTTACATATGAAACAGTGGAATATGTATATATATATAATTAATGAAAATGTTACGGTTATATTTTATATAAAATTATGTTACTTTGGACTTTCACTCTATATTACTATTTTTTACCAAAAGTAAGTAAAATTCTATTAAGAAAGTTGTTAGAGCGAAGATATTTTGTTAAATCCTTATTCTTGAATTTGTCTATAATTAAAGTTAAAGTAAGGCATTCTAATAATTTATTTATCCCAAGTTGACACTCATTTATATCATTAAGACGACGTAATTCTTTTAGCGCCCCTACGAACCATCGTTTTTTAAACAATGGAGGCTCTTATTTTACAAAATGTTGAAGGCTCTATTCACTGTTGTTATATTCTGGTGTGATTCCCTGCATTTGTTCAACTTATATTATTCTCCGCTATATTTTATATTTCAGGACAATGCTGGGTCTTCTTACTTTTCTACTTAATTCCCTCTCCGGACTTGCTTACAGGGAACCGCTTAAAAATTCTTTAAGCTTTTTGCCTTCATTACTTGGGCTTTTTTGTGCCTGGATATTTTTAGGTGTCTTATCGCTTACTTTTTATAAATAATGATCATTAACGTCTATATTTACTTGCAAGTTTTTGTGCCCAGGGGCATCCTGAAAATAGTAACTGCCAGTCTCTCTTCACTGGGCCATCCTCTCCTGCTCACGGGGGTCTCCGAGAGAATGGACAAAATCTTCCTGGAGCGATCATCGCTCCTGAGAAAAGTTTCAAACTTTTGCATTGCTGGTTTTTTTGTGTGTGAGTGCTTGGGTGTTATATTTTTAAATCCATTACAGCAGACAAAATGAAGTTTGAAAGTTTAAATGGGGCTGGACTTAAAGCCTACGCAGAACAGCTGGAATGTCTCACGTGTGAACTGCTTCGCCTGCAGGACGAAATCCAGAGCTCGACTTATCTTCGTGCAATAAAACTGTTTGTTCATTTTTCGCAGAAATCCATCTTCACTTTGCAGTAACTTTACAAGCAGACTTTTTCAAGGGCTTATTTTTGCACTTTCTCTTCTCTGCACCGTGGCGCTGGTAGTGCGCTTATTTAAAAAGTTGCTGGCTGTCGTGTTGGGAACAGAAGGCACGGCGATCTTTATTTTGCAGGAAACTTTTTTTGGCAGAAAAGAAGCGGTTTGTTGATCTTTTGTTACCTTTTTAAAAAACGAGCTCATCGGGAGGTGTAGTTTTTCTTAGGAGGCTTTGAGGCCTTTTTTGAGGTCCTACTGCTTCTGTGAGCCTTTTTGTTTTCCGTTAGTCGGATGGAGATTTATATTTTGCACAAGCTATTTCTATGTCTCTGTGTTTTTCGGGCTGTACACTTTTAAAAGCAGAAGTAACGGCCTTCCACGGAAGAGACTGCCAGCATTCCCTGTTTTCTTGTTACTTTGTATACTATTCTAAGCGTTTTCTAAGTTTAAAGTAGAACAGGATCTTCGGGAAGTTGTCTTATCCATCACGACTGACTCCCAATAAACTTTTGATAGTCCGACTGGGAAAAGCGTCCAGACCCCAAGTCCGTCCCACTTTTTTCAAACTATGTAATTCCTTTCTTTTATGTTCTTGCGACCGTCTAGGTTTTTTTGAACGCTGCCATTATTTCTATGCTGAGTCTTTCTTTCCCCTTCATCTCCGTTAGCGCAGGTTCTCTCCAAGTTAATGCGTTAATCTCGTCAGTTATTAGTTTGCAGGTTGGCGGCAGGAGTCACTAGCATTGACGCCCTGGGCCACCTTGATAGTCTTCCATGGCTCAGGAGCAGCAAGTTTATAGCGATATACAACTTCTCCTTCTGCATGAACCTCCTTTTCACTCTTAAAGACACGTTTAAGAGAAGTCAGTCATTGAAGTAGAAGCTCGGAGCTATACCAATTCTTCAGCATATACGCAATGTAAATTAATATTGGTCAATCGAGCCACGTTTATTCTACACTCGTTAGCGACCAATTTGTATTGTAAAGTTTACTAAAGAACCCGTTAAAGCATCATCACGTTCTTTTTTCAGGCTCGTAGTGGGTCACCTTATGGCTTTTTGCTGCATTTGGGCAATGCCAGTATATTTCACCCGACTCTATAGATGCCAGTAAACATCAATTTTAATTTTTTAAAACTAGGCCAATTTTTTTCACAATGTCTTTAAATGACGGCTCTCGCCTACATCGCTGTGATTACAGCCTGAAGCTGGCTAGTAGAATAGTACTGTTTGGTATAAGAAGTATTGTGGGTCATATGAGACTTGCTAAGTTCTAGGTTCTGCGGTGTCCTTCAATTCAAGTAGAAAGATAGAAAGCAATGGGCATGTCTGCCAATAGCCTACTTTATCACATGGCATTGATACGTCATTTTATTTTTTATTTTTTACTTTTAATTCAAGGGTACAAAGGCGCCAGTCCAAAGTATGCTACTGACGATAACGCACGGGTATAAGACATAGCATGCCTAGAGTAAGAATTAAACAAGACAGGGGCCAACGCTTCTTGGACTTTGAAATCAGAAGACCTTTTAAGCATCAATATGGTTGCTTTCCCGTCTACCCGGTTCTTCAGAGGCAGATAAGACTATTACCAAGTTGGCACCTAATGCTCGATAACGAAAACTACTTCCAAGTTTGAAAGAGTCCGCTCTTTTCTAATGGTTGCGTTGTACTGCGGAGAGTTATAGGCACTTTAGTTCGCATCTAAAGATATGCTTTCAATATTGGTAAAAAGGCGTCTGTGGCATAAGTCCTTTGGCACGCGTTAGGTTCCTTGTGTCCTGAGGCATGCGTTCTGAAGTAACAAGCTTCTTTTCACCGATTGTAAAAGCACTCGAGGGCATAGTTTAACAGCTCATGTCACTCTCCGCAATACAACTGAACCCTCAGAATAGAGCTATACTCAGGAAGGTGCCATCTTTAATTTTCATTTGGCTTATTTTCATATCTATCGCCAGATTACCCAACCAGAATCCTATATATATCAATCCAACTTCACTCCTTAGAGTTATTATTTATCGCTGTTGCTAACTTTTTCGAACCTCTTCCTAGTTGATATATCACTAGTTACCAAGAAGAAGGTAGCTTTGTACACTGGACACTCATCCCTCTTTACAAAGTCAACAAGACCTGAATAAAGAAATAGCTAAAGATTTACTGTTGGATTTTATTAATGGTGACTCTCAACACATACAACTAGTAGCAAGTTTTAAATGATTCCAACGTTTGTTTCAGGCTATAACCTTTTACGAGCGCGACACGGCGAGTTCCCTTATCAACAGCGCACACTGTTCAAAGAATTGCAATGTGATAACACCAACATTCTCATAGGAGTGCCCATAGTCCTTAATGTTCCAAAAAATAAAAGGGAGCAGTGGATATACGAAAGGTATTAACTGACCGGCCGAATATTGTCGCTAGGCTCCGGCAACTCGCTCGTCGAATTTATGAGCGGCGGCAACGTCAAGTTTTTAAAGTCTAGAAGGTAGTATTGGTCATCAATCTTGTAGAGCTGCAGGCTTAGTTTTATCTTTTTTAAGAAAAAAGGTTAATGTGTCAAGGAAACAAGCGTGGATAGGCGAATTTACTTGTTCTTTGGGCTTGCGAGAACGGCAGTAGACATGAAAAGGAGATAAAATCTTCCACTCCTTGATAGGTTATATTATGCTATTATCATTGGTTATTAGAGGGAGCGTACAAAGTCGACAGTTTTCATTGCTCGAAACACTTCGCTCATGATCTCGTGGGGTTTGCTTTTACTTCTTATTCCCAGATGCCATCTGAATGGAGTGTGTATATGTTCATGATATTCTTTTCTCGTTCAAGGCAAAGATATCAGTACAACCTAGGTCTTTTCTCTTGATTCCCGGGAGCTAAAAAGTATTAAATATTAAAAGTATACGCCATTGCTAAAGTATATCGAGTATCCCTGTCATAGAAGTTGAGACGCTGGGCAGGACCTCCAGTGGGCCTGGCGCATTCTCTCTTTGTATGCTTCGAGTGATCATCAACTGGGTAAGCATAAGTTATTGAAAGAACAAAACCGTTGAGTTAAACGACTCTGAAATTTGCTAGCTACTTTCATGTTTTATAAAAGTGTATGCCCCATTCTTTTTACCTCAACCTCGGGATCAGTAATTTTCCCCTTCAAATCCTTGCTTTCACGTGCTATAACATGATATTTATTAAAAAATTCTTTTTAAGGTATGAAGGGAGGTGAAAAAAAGAACCTCTCATTCGCATAACTTTATCGTCCAACACCAGATTATAAGCAATTTTTAGCGGGTCGTTGTCTATGTTGCTACGGAGAGCCTCGCTCACCTCTGCGGCTGTGGCAGACATTTTCTAGGAAGCACCATCAGAACGAAACCAGAAAAGCTCGTGCTCAGAAATACCGAACACACGACTTGTAGGACCTCTTCGTCTACCCTCGAGGAGTCGTTGTGATCCACGTGAGGCTTGAGGTACTCCGGCAGGTCGACGTTGAACCAGGGATGCTCCCTTGGGGGCAGTAGCACAAGTAAGTTAGTAGAGCTCGGGAGGACAAACAGGAGCAGGAGGACCGAATCTGAGCAATGGTAGCGCGTTTCAGAGGATCTACTTGCAACATCGACGTTAATATTTCTTGGGCAGCGTCCGACAAGTAGGATGGCATTACAAAGATCCCTAATATCGTATAAGAGTAAATAATACGAGCTCCACATTAAATTAGAAAAACCTTTTTTTATCTTTTTAAACAAAGATGGGATATATTCATCGTCGAAGGGAAGCTTCCCGCAAAGAAGAGCGTAAAGTATAACACCGCAGCTCCACACGTCGACCTCGGGGCCCGCGTACAATCTATAAATAAGTGGAAGTAGTACAATTTGTGAACTCTTAAAAAGACCTCTAAGCGCGAAAATACGTTTTAAGTATATATATACAAATAACAAGCTTTTTTTTATTGTAATTTAGTTAAAAACTTAAACTTAAACTTTAATTTAAAAAAATTAATTGAAAAGCTTATATAAAGAAAGCATAATTATAAACTGACATATAATTAGCAGGCTTAAATGTGCACAAAGTTAATACTTTCCGGATATTACTTCCGGAGCGGCATAGTTAGGAGATCCGCAAGAAGTCTTGAGGAATTCGCCATCCATCATGATGTTAGATAAACCGAAATCAGCGACTTTGACGTTTTTATTTTTGTCAAGAAGAAGATTCTCTATCACACTGTTGATTTTTAGTTGCTTAATTTTTTAAAAAAAGTAAACCTGGTTTTAAATCTCTGTGAACGATTTTATGACGATGACAGTACTCCACGGCAGAAATTATTTGCTGGAAGAAAGAGCGAGCAACGTCTTCAGAAAACTTTAATTTAAACATAAAATATTTTTTTTAATTAAAGTAGAATCATTTATAAGTTAGTGTTAACTTTTCCGTGCTTTACGATGTGATCAAAAAGTTCGCCTCCAGAGACATACTCCATAACCATAAAGATGTCAGTAGGTGTGGTAATAACTTCGTAGCTACAAAGTTAAAAAGGTAAAAATCTAGAATAGCAATTATATCTGAAACAGACAGTTTTATAATGTGAGGATGCGAAAAAAGTTTTAAATTTTGAATCTCGCGTTTGATTTTGCCAATCATATCCAAAATGCGAATTTTCTTTCGATTTAAAATCTTTACAGCAACTTTGTGTTCTGTCTGCTGATGCGAAGCAACTAAGTTAAAGTTCATTATTAAGTACAGTTTTAATTGTTACAATTGAAACTTGTTGGCAGTAAAAACAATTTAACTTTGATCAGTAAAAAGTCGTTATTGAAATGATATAATCACATTCTTATATAAATACTCTTGTATAATAATATTTGATAAGACAGTACATACTAACGCCCTTATAACTTTAAATAATAGATCTAAAATTGAAGATAACATACGTTTAACTTTTCCGAAAGAACCGACGCCCAGTGTTTCGCCCAATATATAATTTCCAATTCTAAGGGGGCCCAGACGTTGGAAACCCATTAAACTTAAGAAAGATATGAAAAGTTGACGGCAGGACTTCAAAGTAAACGTCTAGTTAGTGCACTTTACTATGCGTCAAGTGAATGTTTAAAGGAGATATATTAGCAATATGTTAGTCTACAGAGGCTCTATAAACGTGGTGTTATTACAACCCAACCACTTTTTTTTAAGTTTCAACACCTCCACTATAATTTTTGTGTTGGGCAAGGAAGAGATCCATTAGATTAAATTAACTCATTATTTAAAATATTTAGCCTAAACAAATATTTACTATTAATATAAAAATGTGTTTTTCAGATTTTGGTAGCCTTCTTACAGGTTATATGCTGTTTTCTTTAAAAAGGTTTTGGTTAGGTAAACATGCATTGTTTTTAGGTTTTTATATAAGAAAGCGGTTAATAACTGATTTATTAGTAAAAAATATATACAAAAAACTTCAAATTAAAATTATTAATTTATATATGATGTTCATTCTTTAGTACACGCGGCTATAGGAATTTATTGTATAACTTGAAGCCATTTACGTATGCATAGTTCTGCTAACGGAGTTGTTGACGCAATTTTAATTAAACCAGAGTGGCTTATTACATTAAAACGTTTCATAATAATTGTGTGATAATTTATTTACCTATCTATTTAAGTGAAGAGATAGTATTAATTTGCTTTATTCACGCTCTGTATTTACCAAACAACCGTCGTACTAAGACACGTATAGCTTAAAAAAAATTAATTATATGTAGTTGTTGACGTGGTTTGTGTATTTAATTGATAAATTAATAAAATCTTTGAATTTGTGTTAACACCAAATGTTGGTTCTTGTCTAAGTACATTAAAAGAGTAGGAGCGCCAATTAAAAGAGTTAATAAGTTTTATGAAACGCAATATGAATGTTGGAAGGCGATAGCCCTTAAGTTGTTGGCCCTTTAACGGGAAAAATTCTGGGGTTTAAAATAGTTTTGTTTTTACCTTCACTGGTAACTAAATTTACTACTTTTTTATGTTCTACTGGTTGCTGCCATTGGAACATGGTACTTAAATTTAGCAGAGATCGTTTCAGAGACCGAGCCTGGCGTTTAGGGCCAACTTCCATAGACCTACTCTTTCAAATTGAACTTAGGCGGTGTAAGTGGTAAAGAGAGTCGCCAGTAACTTATAAGGGTTAAGTTATATTTGTAAATAATGTAATTTGGCCCATTACAATTTAAAAGAAAAAACGAAAAAAAATTTTTTTTAGTTAACTACAAACATAGAGAAGTAACGCTCTAGTAACTCCTTTAAAGTGGGGTGCAAATAATCCGGGGGACCTGCCTAACAGAAAAAACTGGTGTTCTGTCATTCTTGTCTGGGTCTCCAGGAGCTTCCGAGCCGCCATCGCCGATAGTGGGAGTTTTCGACTGCATTAGGACGAATAGCGAAAAAATAGGATCTATGTTTCTCCACTATGGCTGTTCTTTGGAACAGCCATAGTGTCTGAAAGAGGTGAGAATTTATACTGTGCATTTTAGTATTACAAAATTTTACATTGAAAATAATATATATAAAATCTATATACTTGAGAATTTTTCGATATTTCAATCACGAACAGAACGAACAAAGAAAGGCATCGGTTGTCCAATAGCTGCGGCACTATAACGGGAACTCTAAAGGGTGCCCTTGCGAAAAAAGCAAGGTGCGCCGGTCATTGGCTGGCAAAGCTGCCACAGTCGAGGGTGCATTAAATAAGTAGGTAGGGTGGGTTTAACAAAAGTTTTGAATGTAATTTATAGAATGAGAGTGTGAGTTTTTCACCGTAACTCAGTGGTTAGCGCATTGTGGCGCAACCCCCAAGATCGTGGGTTCGATTCCCTCGACGCCAACTCGCATTTTTCTGGACCTACAAAACAAATTTTTGATAGTGTGCCGGACTACATATTTTAATTAGCACACAGCTTGTAATGAGAAGACATTTTGCTTTCCGCACCATCAGCGGATAGAACGCCCGTGTCGGAACAGTTTCCTGAAGCCGGAAACCATCTAATTAAGGAATATTTATATAATTAAAGTTTTATCAAAAATGCTCCTTTCGAGTAGCAAAAAGTACCTAAAATACGACAGTGAACCTGGCGGTGGAACAAGAATCGTTACGTCCAATGATGAATGTACGGTACTTGACCAAGAATCAAAAGGTTCGATCCAACGGTCTAAGGCACAAAGAACTCCAAAGTTTACGGGAAGCTATAAACCTTTTTGAGCTAAATGTGGTTGCATTAGTATCAGTTTCTATGCATTCGATGGTCGGTTAGAATATACTATGTCGTTTGTACAGAGATTGAGTAGTCTTATTAGCTAGTTCTATAGATATATAGCCCGGCCATCTCAAGATTTTCATATTGATTTGTTTGTCAATCTATTTTTGCCAAGTAACTTGAAAACCAATACAGAAAATCGCCAAGAAGCTACTACCTAAGTCCACTATTTATATACCTCCCAAACCATTAACTCAGGTTTTATAAAGTATGCGTGCGCCTATAATGACCTACGCATCTGCTGCCTGGGACATGAAAAAATCAGCGATTGCACTCTTGCAGGTGCAACAAAACAAACTGCTGCGGTTAATGACAGGTGCACCTTACTTTGTGCCTATGACACACCGCCCGGCGGGCTGAAAGACAGCTTTAAGATATTTTTAATAATGCAACTACTGTCTCTTTTATACGCATTTGTAAGCAATCTAATCACCAGTGGGCTAAAAACTCATCGCGATGTACTTTAAACGCACATTTTTAATATGTATTCTCCACACGTATTTATGTATGAATGAAATGGTAAGATAATACGGACTGCGTTGCATGGTTTAGATTAACATAATTAAGAATTCTGCGCTTGAACTAACGAAGCCTTTGCATAAATTATTAATAAGTCTGTCATTTTGAAGTTATGATGGAAATTAACCCAGAATATTCTTTAAAAAATCTTCAAGTTATTTGAATCTCGAATTAAAGATTTCAACTATGAAAAAAATCAAAAAAGATATGGGAATTCTCTAAAAAACTGGCAATTAATTGGAGAGAAAAAACGAAAAGAAATAAGAAAAGGGGCATAGAGATGTTGCAAATCTGTTCGACTAATATAACCAACTCTAACAGTACGATCCAAGAAAAAGTTTTTTTTTCTGAATCCCTACCGAAATAACAGGAAGTCTTAATTTCTAATAATTGCGCCTGAAGACGGATGCCTTATAATCGCAAATAAAAAACTAGACGGCAAAGATGATAGAGTTCCTTCCCTCCCCTCCCCACTTCTCCCAATGTTAGGGGGCGGAAAAGCCCTTTCGTTTAAAAAGTGCATTTCTCGCACTGAACTGAACTAACTATAACCGCATACATCGTTGCCCACCAAAAAATTGGCATCAGTATATAAGCTCCTTGATAAAGATTTAACTTGTACATTACTTGGTATGATATTTGAAAAAACTGCCTCCGCTATTGTAGCAGGAGATTTTAATTTAAAACATTCCGCTTAAAAATAGCAAAGAGGTCAATCCCCACGGATTAACTATAAAAAAGTATGCGTTTAAGAATCAGTTAGCTGTAGTTGAGCCCTTGGAGTCTACACATTATCCAAGTAAACACTCCTCGGAAGTATTAAGGTATGGCAGTACTAAAGATGATAACTTTTGACTACAATTTAATAACTACTACGAACCACTGTTAGATTATAATCCTGTGGTTTTAGAATTGTTAACGGTTGCGATGAATTTAATCGGTTTCAGAATGCGTTGGAGCGAGTACGAAAGAACTATAGATAAAAAGAGCCTAGATGACTGTGATAACAATAAAGTAGAAGAATTGGACAACAGTAATCCTTAGGGTGGAGCAGACTATAAACGATACTCTTAAGCAGTCTAAAAAAAGAGTACCTAATAACACCTAATTTATTATAAAAGTGCTGGTTGCGAAATGGCGAGTCAACTTTTTTTTATAAAGTTCAACATATAAAAAACACCTTTTTTCACATAACTGAAGCCTTACGAATGGCTAGGGGTATTTTATTGGCAGGACAAACTTTGCGAAAACATCAATAATTTTTGGCCACTTGTTATTTATCTAAAGAATAAAGGGTATAGCCATTTTTCCAGTTTTAGGGTTATATGATATCTGGAAACAGAGAAAAGCAACTGCATTTGCGCGGAAAACGAAAATGACTTACACATTAAAAAGTATGTGGAAAAGTATTCTATTTAAGAGGAGTGTAACTCTTAAGTTTTGTAATCATTGAAGAAATAGAGGAATTTTGATCAATGATAAACAGTTGTTAAAGTGAAATAATAAATAACAAAAAAAAAATTTACACCAACATGAAAAGGATACCTTTTTTTTAAATATGGTAGGAATAAGTTATTTATACATATGGAATTAATTAACCTTATAGTTAAGGGTAAACTACAGATCGTAAATAGGCAAATATATTGTCATTTATCAAAATACACATCTGTTATACTATGCATACTATATAAATACTTTATACAAAATGTTATTTTTCCTTTATTAATTTTAAAGTTATATCATACTCATAGCTAATATCATATATTTCTTTCCCTTTTTGAATATTTCATACAATTTTTATATACTTCACCACTGCAGTGCAGAAATTTTCTCAACATTGAAGTTGTGTTTGCGACATTCGACCGTGTGCATCTGCCGAGATGTCAGCACGGAGTAAAGATCAATGTTGGCGCATGTTCCAACTCAGAGTTTTTACTAATAGAATAAATATCAATCGTTGTTTGCATTGTACTCTTGTTCTCTTTGTTTTTTGTTTATAGTTTCGGTGACTTCTAGTCTATAGAGCTGCAAGGTCGTAAAGTTGGGAATGGATTGCCAAGGTCTATATGGTCAAAGTCGAAAAGTTAAACAAATTAAGAGTCCCAGGCTTGTGGGAGTATAAATTCGATTTCCTGAGGCAGATAAGTTCATGATGTATGCAGGTCAAGGAAATCCTAGGGAAGATATAGCCTTCTAAACCTCTGAGCTCTAGGCTAGCCAAGTCTAATAGACAAGAGCTATCAAAATCTCAAAATAATATGTATTTAAAAATACTTTAGCACATTATTAATTTTCCTGAAAATCTTCTTATTATTATGTATAAAAGCGATGCAAACCTAAAATAAAGTCATTTCCTATTCTCTATTTCTTTGCTTCATTCTAATGCGTTATCAGCGCCTAGCAGCCACAAGGTTAAGGATCTTCAGCTACGTTCATAAGGACCTTTTTTTATCTTTTCTTTCTGTTTTTGACTATATATCTTTTCATATATATAGATAACTTCTCTTATCAATTTTCTTCATATTTTTTTTTTAAATTTTTTTATCGAACTTAACCTTTTATTTTTTATTACTCGCTGACACTATATAGTATATATATAATAATAGTACAACATCAACTCAATTCTTTTCAACCTGCAACCTGTGGTGGACAAAACCTACGGGCTGTCACACAATTAAGGCAGTGGCTAATAGACATAAAGTGAGCATTAACTACTCAAGGGATCCATGACATATTCTTCCCTAACGGAAAAATTGGAGAACTTGAACCCCTTTCTTCAGCAAAACTTAAAAAAGCGGCTATTGGGATATAAGTCTTAATGAACAGTCTACATAATGAGAGTAAGTCAAAAATTGGAGTTCGAGTTATCGCTCCAGAACAAGTGTTGATCCAAAATGTTAAAAAAATGCATTTGAAATGAAGTCACTCGTAATATTCATCAGTAAAATACATGAGATATGTCATGCGAGAAGGAGAGATGACAAGTTCATATAACAATTCGCCAACCGTCTGGCCACATTTCGAGTCAAAATAGAAGAACAGTGCACAACAAAACCCTGTTGCCTCCTATCGGTGAAATTACGAACTTAAAATTATAGCCCTTATCCACAGGGTTGAGAGGAAATCGAATATGATGTTATATCACTAGAACAATATTATAGTAATAACCCAGAAAACTTGGATAACCATTATGCACTGAATGCCTTATTACAAGCGGAAAATAGGCATAAAGTTGATAACAACTTGAAAGCTCTAACCTTTAAAAAAAATACATCCTGTAACCAACAAACTTACGGGGGAAAACAGACTTACAAATTTTTTAAGGGCCGGTCGCCATTCCTGCAAAGGCGTCAGGGCCAACAATTAAGGTGTCATTGCCCCATATTAAGCAACATGTAAATTTTGTTAAAAAATTGGCCACATTGAAGAGGTATGCCTTAATAAGAAATCATGGCTCAACTTAACATAACTCTCCGAAAAGTACGAACCCAGGGATAAAGCTGTTTGTTGAACTGGGGCCTATTCCTCATTTTATTAAAGATAGAGAGTTATCGACTGATATCCGATCCGATGAACATGTTAATAATACAATAAATGATAGCACCGAGGCTTGCCAAGCGATTTTTTGAAATTTTGATATCGTGGTAAAGTTACTTATAACAAAAATTTCAAACATGACCTGATTCTGTAGATAAGCTAAATGAAAAAGGATTGGATATCTGTTTTAAAAATAATAGAGTTTTTGTTAATAAGAAAGACAAGGTTATTACTCAAGGTAGAAAAGAGAATGACTATTTCTTATAATTGTGATGGCTACGATAATAAAGAAATGTCGACGACTTTTTATACCATGAAGTCCAATTCTTTATCCCTAGAGAACACTCCAAGTAAGGGTAAATTAGGTATCCTTACTTGGAAAGAATTTTTCCTGGTTGTCATATTTTAAAAATCAAGCCTGTGGAATTTGCCAAAAATGTATGATGAAGAAAAATAAGTTAAAAAATGAGCGAAAACTAAAAATTAACGTATTTTGAGACAATTAATGTATTGACACCTACTATTGCGACATATCGTCATGTGAGGGGCACAAGAATGTTATAGTTGCAAAGGGCGCTAGGATTAAATGAGTCACCATTATCTATGCGAAGTTAAACATAAAATAAAAAATTTAATTGTTCAGTGGGTTAAAAGACAATAAATACATAAAAAATTTAAAAATAAAAGGGACTACGAAATGCAGATGTTAAATTGTCAACTACGTAAATACACATCTCAATACATGATGAGTGAAGGAGTCATTCAGAAATTGTGTAACATGACTCGTTGCATACTAAAACAGTCCAGATTACCAAAAGTTTTCCAGAGCGAAGCTTTACATTACGCGGTCTCCTTATTAGAGTGTTCTAAAAAAGATTGAAAGAAGTCGTCTAAAGAAATTTTTAAATTAAGATTCAGTGGACTAAGTTACTATA